GACCAGTTTGCTGTACATACTAGCAAGCTTGGGAACCAGGGCAGGGAGTTGGCCTGGTGGGGGTTATTGCAGGTTGCTCTGACTTGGCTGTAGCTCCCACTGGTGTATATGAGGGCCGAATATGTGGTGGTCATGATTGGGATGGGCTGCAACACTCATTGGTTTGTGTAGAAGACAGGGCTAGAGACAGATTTGACCCAGCAATAAAATCACAACCACTAGCATATACATAAGCTGATTGGGGCAATGGACTGTGCCGGACCCTTTACTGGCAAGCACACACAAGAATCAGGTCTGGGATCACCTCAGATGAAGTTTCTTTGGGGATCCCCCCCGTTGAACTGCTGGGCTCAGAACCCCAACCATGAAGAGAATTGCAGGTTCCATGGTCTGACCATGGAGTGCATGTGTCAAAGCTGAGCTGCCTCAGTGGCTCAGAGCAATGGACAGCATATCCAGGTGCACATGGAGAATATGGTAGTACATTGGAGCCTGCAGAAGACACCTGGCACCTCAACAAAGGACAGAACAAATTGATCAACTACCTAGTCAAGTGTTGGCAGCGAAAATCTGGGCAAGTGGAGATGCGAAGGTGCACTATGCCAGCCAGTGGATTTTGAAGAGATCTCATCGTGCTTGGAATGGCAACTCTGGCAGCAATTCAGAACAATTGAACCACTGAAACCACTTTAGTAGTGTCCTTGGAGCATGCCCCATATCAGGGACCCTGGGATGGTTGGGAGGGTGGGTGTGACTTCTCCCTTTGTCTCTCCCCTTCCCCCAGATGCAGGAAGGAAAAAAGAGAATGTGGAAACAATGGTCTTTCCCACTTTCACTTCCTTGACCTTTTGAGCCTTAATCAACTATGTAAAGATCATCAAAATAAAAACATTTTTTAAAGTAACACAAATAAAAGCAGATCTCAAACAAATGCTATATAGCCCAAGCTATGACACACACACTGAGTTATGAATTGGAAGGCTGACCCTGGTGGTAGTTCTAAGTGCTCACACGTAGCTGTTATCACCAGAAAGTTCTTATCTAGTTTTGAAGCCAAGAGTTTCTTTCCCCCAGTGGCATGCTTTACACAGAACAAGAACCCAAACCAGCCCTGAAATTTCCCTAATGTGGTTGTGCATCTACCATGCAGTCAAACAAACTGCTCCTATGTAATCCGCAATGACATAATTGAAACCGGGTTTGCATTTATTTCAGTAGCACTGTTGTGATGGAAGAAAAATATTTTAGTAAGCGGCACAGCACATGTTTGAGCAAGGCTTACAGAGGTCTGCTCTGCTTGCGGGTTCCTCTCTGACTGCTAAGATCTCCGTTTTGGAAATGAAGAGGAGAGCAAGAGGGAGAAGGGATGGTATTGAGTTTCAGTCCTGCACAATGGCACCTTTAACAAGTCTGCTAGCTAGTCAAAAACCAAATAGAGCGGTTTGAAAAAGTCTTCAGTACTGCCAGTTATTCACAGGACTCTGGGGGAATGAGAACTTCCAATGGGGCAATATTTATAAATGCTACTGTTGTCCCCCAAACTCATGTCTCAGATTCCTTAAAGATGCTGGGAGCATTCACGCTAATGAGTGCATGGGTTTAAATATGGAAAGAAGTCGTTAGCAAAACAAAATTAAGCACCTATAAATGGGTACTTGGTGGTCTTGAATTTGAGTACTACTTGAATAAGATCGGTAACCTGACCTGTCTCGCCAATTTCATTTCAATTTGCCAATGGCTTGGTCATGAAGAAAACATTCAAAATGTAGAACGCTGATGGCCAACATGGTTTCTAAATTTTTATTTAATTTTTTTTCTACTTTATATCGCTAGTTGCCAAAAAGAACTTAACCTCAAGTTTGGAATATCCAAATAACTGAGTTTGTGTCTACAACTCTGATGGTGTCATCACAACACCGTGTGCTTGAGAAACAATAACATTCGTGCAGGGAAGTCAACTCCGCATTTAAAGTCAGTGTTTCCATTAGCGACCCTAACAGTATTTGCTAAAGTTTACATAATTTGATCATTAAAAAATGTGTGAGGCTGGAAACCTGGTCTGTGTCAATCTTGGACTAAACTAGTTTGCTCTGAAGTTTGTTCGTCCTTTCTCTTTTATCTTTCTTCAAGAATGTATTTATTTTAACTGCTACACCTGAATTCAAACCAAAAAAAAATTTTTTTTTCTGCAACACCGATGAGCCAACACTATTGCATGCATTACCAGTATTTCAGGAGAAATTTATGATGTCTATAAACTCAAGTTCAAGGTGCCTATTACTGGAAGTAATCACCTCAAATTTCTTTTTAAACTCTATGTTTAACCCAATCCCGTCTTCGTTGTTTTATTTCACCCAAAATATTGGAACTTCAAGCTGAAATGTTAATGTTTGCAGATATAAACTGCCAATTGGAATTTAGCTTTATAGAAATAAAGCTTACTAGGAGGACATCCAAGAACTTGGATTTTTTTTTTTTTTCTGGTGGAACAGAAGAGAACTTTCCTAAGGTAACACCCAAGGAGGAAGGGGAAGGCATTCTTTTAGATTCTGTCAGATTCAAGTTCTACTGCCATGAAGAAAACACCTGTGTGTAATTTAAAACATCTCTGACATCTCATTGCCGGCCGAGTCTGGCGATGGGAGGTTGCTCCCAAGAAGTTTGTGGAAAAACGGGATTAAAAGATGAGTTTATTTTGGCACAAAAGATCTTGAGCTCCATGCGATCTTTAGAAAGTATACGGAAAAACGTGGAACCAAGAACAAGCTAGGTATGCACTGCACCCACAGAGTAACTCTCCCCTCTTTCCTGGACTTCTTTGGTACCCTTATATCTACTGCAGCTTCCTCCCTTCACCACTGGAAAACACGGTCTTCCTGTTACAACTTCTGTCCCGTTGGAAATATCTAAGAAGTCTGAATCCTTGCCTGGCAAAGATGGAGCCAAAACAAGTGTGTGTGTGTGTGTGTGTGTGTGTGTGTGTGTGTGTGTGTGTGATCTTATACCTTTAAAAGGAGCCAATATACAGTGTAAACATGAAGAAAGGAATGCTACTTTACTGTTTCTTATTAATTTTTCATTTGTCTTCATAGAACTATGGGAAATCACCATTTGGATGGAAATGGAAATAGTTGGACTGCCCTGGGGCAAATGATGAATTTTCCCTTCCAGACCAGATCATCTTCCATGCACTTTCTCACATCATTCAGCAAGCAGAAATTATTTTGAGGTGTGAACACAGTGTATATTGACAAACTCAAACTTGTGGGCTATAAAGGATGTATAAATTTAAAAGCTATACCTTATGTAATAACTTAAAAATAGTTTGTCTTGGCAAATATTATCAAAGGAACTCTGAAAAAGATGAAATTGCCGAAGTGAGTACTAACTTCAATTCTATCACTTAACGTCCCACAGTGACGTGTAATGAATAATTTATGTATATGTGCTTGAGGAAGGAAATTTGAATTATGTGTAATGGAATGTTTTTTGATTTATGCACAATTCGTATCTTTTTTTATTTTATAGGCACGGGGAGATTTATGTGAACGAAAATTGAGGAAATTCCAAACACATCAAAAATGGATGCTTCAAAGAAAAGTGATATGTTAAAATTGTTATTGTAGTATATCTCAAAGATTCCAGCATTGCTTTAGGTGTAATTGAAAACATGTAGATGGTATTCCATCTACTCAATCATATGACAATCATGTCTGACCAAAACCGAAGCTTGATGTACTCGATGGTAGATTCATTTGGGAAAGAGTGTATCTAGATAACGCAGAAATACAGATCGCAACTTCGAAATATAATTTTCAACATGAATTGTTTCCCTTGAAATAAACACCTTCCAACCTGAGACGGCAACATTTTTCTCGCTCAAAGATATTAGTTTTACATTGAGCTTGGCAATAGGATGGATGTCACCGTCATAATTCACAAAATGTCATTCAACTTTTGGACTTTGGTAGCCCTAGGAATTTCACGTGGGTAGAAGCAGGCAATGTAATGTAGCTGATTAAATCACCAGTGGCATCACCTACATTACATACTGGAGTGCTTATACAAATCCTGGCTGCTCTGCTTTCGATTCAGCTCCCTGCTGATCCAACTGGGAAGTCAGACAATGATGGCCTGGATACCCGTGTTCCTGCAAACCTTGTGGCAGAGCTGGATGGAGTTTAGAGCTTGTGATTTTAATCTGGGTCAACCACAAGTATTGCAGGCATCGAGGGAGTGACCCAGTGGATTGAAGAGACTCCCTTCTTCTCTCTTTTCCCTTCCCTCCCTTTCAAATAAATTTTAAAGAATAAACCTCTTTTTTTTTAAAACAAAAATTGTACTTAGTTTTCTGACTAGCTATTCTGTAAGCTGTTGGGAGTATATATGTCGTGATTTAAAAAAAAAGATTTATTTTCATTGGAAAGGCAGATTTACAGAAAAAAAGGAAAGACAGAGAGGTCTTGCCTCTGCTGGTTCACTCTCCAATGGCCATAATGGCTGGAACTTTGTTGATCTGAGGCAGGAGCCAGGAATCTCTTCTGGGTTTCCCACATGGATGTACGGACCCAAGAACTTGAGCCAATCTCCACTGCCTTCCTAGGTGTGAGCAGGAAACCGGATAGAAAGTGGAGCAGCCAGGACTAGAACTACCACCCATATGGAATGCTGGCACTGTAAGGCAGACAATTAGCCCATTGAGCCACCATGCTGTCCCCGTCAGTCTTAATTTTAAGTTAGGTCTACTGACAATGTATATTCTCAGAAAGAGACCTACTGTGTAACACATATTGAAGCTTCAGTAATCAAGTTGATTTCAAGACCTAATTTTCCCCGGCACAACTTCTTCATGTATATTTTCACTCATTGGATTGCCAAATTATCCAAATTGATCATGATTTTTTTATATATGATCATTGTATGCTTTTTCATTTGTGTGATGGCACAGCAGCCTTGCCATGCATGTACAAATACACAGAAATAACCAACATCATACTCACAGTTATAACCAGGCGCGATGCGGTGCTGGGCTTCAAGGCTGGCCAAGGTGATGTGGAAAATGATGTGCAGTACCAGGAAGGAGAAGCTGGTGAGGCACAGCGACTTCAGCAACCGTCCTGTGTGGCCTGCAGGGTACGAAGCACAGAGCGCGTGAGAGAGCATAGCACCCAACATGCCATCTGGCTCTTTCATAGAGCCTCATAAGAATTTCTTAGGCAACTTCCTTGGTGGACTGTCTCAAAGTCTAGGAAGCGCAACTGTTACTAAGCTTAATTACTGACCTATAGCTAAAAGCAATCTTATGTTCTTTTTGCCTTGCACTGGTTAAAAAAAAAAAATCACTGTAAAAATATAAAGACACTAGGGACCAGCTACATGGTATAGCAAGCTAAATGGACTCTGCCTTGTGAATCAGATGCTCCATTTCCAAATCTAGCTCTGTGATTATTGGGGGATGGCCCAAGTTTTTGAGTCCCTGAAATCATGTGGAAGGTCCTGGTTTTGGATAGGCTCAGCTCCAGCTGTTGCAGCCAATTGGGGAGTGAGTCAGCGGATAGAAGATTTTTCTGTTTCAACTTCTCTCTGTAACTCTGCCTTTCAAATGCAAAAATATTTACCAAAAAAAATGACATTTGTCTATTTGTTATATGATGAACTGTAGTAGCCCTACCAACAACCTAGCTATATAGAATTCCTGGTGTCTCCTTAATCCTAGGACCTCCTCCAACCGGAAGTGGGAGAACATTTGTACAGACAATGGTGCAGCCTCAGCACAGTATCACAGGAGGAGTGCTGTGGGGAGCCATGCAGTTGGGTCGGATGGCATGGTTGTGTGATGAGCACTGCTCCTCGGTTAGCAAGGCTGCAGCGAGGCAAGGACAGCGGAAGGGGCCTGACCTCCTCCTAACTCGCGGAAGAGGATATGCTTGTGTTTTCCCACAGGACTCAGATTCGCCAATCTGGAGTCCAGACCGACTGATTAGACATGTCTCATCATCCTCAGACCCCATGCCGCCTACTGAAAGCAGCAAGCCTGTCCCGCAAGAGACATCATCCTCCACTGCCTCTTCTGACATCTCCAGTCCAGACATCTGAAAGACATCCATCCGAACACCTTTCTTCAGAAAGCAACGTGCTGGACGAGTCTACACCTGCTGAAAATGTTCTTCCAACGCCTATATCTGGTCTGCATATTCATCCTCCTGCTGTTGGGTGCCACCAGGCAGCTTCCACATGTCCTGCTCCTCCGCCTACCTGGGTGGGGTCAGGTTAAGGCTCTTACTTCCTCAGCCGAACAATTAGTAAATTCCCAACAGCATCCCTGTACCTGTGAGAATTTGTTCGTTGCCATGCTTGCAATTATCACCATTCAGATATGTTTTTTAGCAGTGCCGTCAACATAGCAATATTGGGCTTACATCCCCGACTCATCTTCATTGCATCCCCATTGCAGATGTGGGGAGCCATGCAGTTGGGTCGGATGGCATGGGTGTGTGATGAGCACCGCTCCTCAATTAGCAAGGCTGCGAGAAGTTTCTAGCTGCGAGGCAAGGCCTGGCAGAATGTCTCTGGTCACCTCATTGCTGCCTCACCCCATCGTACGGACACTCAATCACCTCTCTGATGTTTGATAGAATTCTCCTGGTGATGTTGTTGTTTTTCTGCTAGTGTGAAGTGATTCCTGTAACTGGTATGACACCTCGAATTGATAAATCATGTTATGATAAAAACATCTTTAGTAATGTAAAGCTATGACACACAGCTAAAAGTATACAATAGTACAATTGAGCCCACAATGTCTCCAAACATCCTGTTATGTGCCCACTTTTGTCCTGAAGTTTGCCCTAGTATAAGTAATATTTTCATTAAGAAATGGCTTGATAATATCTTGGAACAGATGGCAATCATGGAGGTACAAAGAGTTTGTTTACCATGCACCTCGACCTGTTACAACACATGATATCATGCATTTTAGTTTCTCACCACAGAAAGCAAAAGTATATGGGGCATCTTCTAAAGGGAAACAAAACAAAACAACCCCCCCCCCAAAATGGCTTAAAATCTCAATCTTATACTGGCACTTATATTTAGGGAAAGAAAACAGTTTGAAAGGAAGTTTCTTGTAAAGGTCTTCTGTTTGTAGATTGGCTGAGCTGCCTTGATCCCTTTCACTGCCCTTTAACAAAAGAACAAAAAACAATTAAATCAGCACTAGGTGAAGATGACGGTAATTAAGGCATGATTTGATTATAAGATTTCGCAAAGAATGTATATTATATGCTTTTATAAAATCCTTTCATTTATGATCTTTTAAATCTGTACTCTTAATATTTTAATCAATATTAGTTAGTTTGTGTTTAGTAAAAGTTGATTTTGAGTATAAGTTAACCACTTGTCACTATGTAACTGCATGTGCTGCCAACTGTGGAGTTCCTCGCTTCAGCCATGTGACTTCAGGCTTCAATGAGTAATGGTTTGTTGGAAATGTTTTCTTTGAAGTAAAATAATATTTTTTAGGATTTTTTTTGTATTTTCTTAACCATGATGCAAAAATGAAACAACTGGATATTGTGCAAAAGCTTTTGAGATTTGTGTATAAATAAAGAAGGCAACTTTTCTGAGTTGTCTATTATGAGCATCATGTCATAGTGGTCCACGTTTTATCTCTTCTTCGTATCATCTCGCCGACCCATGCATCCTTTGCAAGCTCTCTAGTCAGCCGGAGCTGGTCTCCGGCAGAGTGTGGTGAGCCAGGAGCTGGGGCTATGGAGACTATGGTGGAAATCCAGCATAAGAACCCAGATTTGGAACTCGCTGAAGGGGGTGAACAGGTGACTATAAACAAGAGCCATGTACCAACTGCAATAGGTAAAATCAAATTGTAGACCTGTGAGTGACAGAGCTTAGAAACCTGCCCCAAGGAGAAGAATGTGATGACCAGAAGTACAATGACCAAGAGCAAAAGAAGAGACAGAGGCACAATGAATATTACTGAAGACTCCCCTGCAAAGGAGCAAAAGCCTTTGCCCACCTCAGAGCCATCTGAGGAATACATCAAGAAAATGGGGGATATAGAATTCAGAAAACTTGTTACAAAGCGTCTGAGCATCTGATCAACAATAAGAAGCATATAAAGGAATTTAAGGAATATGCTACACAACCAATAGCAATGTTGAAAAAAAAATCAAGGTGATATATCAGAAAGGAAGAATACAGTAGAGCAAATTAAAAGTACAGTGGAAAGTCTCCAAAATAGAATAAAGGAGGCAGAAGAAAGAATCTCAGAATTGGAAGATATTTCCTGTCACCAGGGGGAAACAAATAAAAAGCTAGAAACTAAGCTGGGTCAAGCTAAAAAAATGTATTCAAGAATTGAAACGCACTATTAAAAGGCCAAAGATAAGAGTTATGGGAGTCCCAGGAGGTGCAGAAAGACAAGCTAGGTTTAAAAATGTATTCAATGAAATAATAAAGGAAAACTTCCCTAATCTGGAGAAAGAATTAGAAAATAACATCCAGGAAGGGCACAGAACTCCCAACAGGCTTGACCAAAAGTGATCTTCACCATGGCACATGATCATCAACCTCTCTTCAATCGAACATAAGAAAAAAGATTCTTAGCTGTGCACGTGGAAAAAAAAATCAATTGACATATAGAGGAATGCCAATTAAACTCACAGGAGACCTCTGATTGGAAACCCTACAGGCCAGAAGAAAATGGAGCGACATATTCCAGATTCTAAAAGCAAAAACTTGTCGGCCCAGAATAACTTTCTTTTGTATTTAAAAATGAAATAAAATTCTTCCACAGTAAAGGAAAGTTAAAAGGATATACCTCTTCCAAACCTGCCCTACAAATGATACTTACAGATGTTCTCTTGACAGAGAAGAGGAATAGCACCCACCAAAACCAAAGGCAAATGTGAAGAACACCCCAGATAACAACAGAAGACTAAATCAATGAATAGCCCATTGCTAAAATGACAGCACCAAATTACCACCCATTCATATTAACCCTGAATATAAATGACTTGAACTCGTCAATGAAATGCCATAGACTAGTGGACTATATTAAAAAGTAAAACCCATCTATCTGTTGCCTACAGGAGACACATCTCACTAACAGAGATCAGCAGAAACTATCTCATGGATTTTGTTGCTTTTGTTTTTATTTTCATTTCTTCAAGATAGTTTTTTTTTCTCATTAAATTCTTCAATGGCGCATGAATCATACAGTAGCATCATTTTCTTTAACAGGGTCCTTGATTTTCTTTTTCATTTCTTCGGTGACACATTGGTCATTCAGTGGCATGTTGTTTAACTTCATAGCATTTTAACTTTCTATTTCTTCTTGTTGATTTTGCCTTGTGGCTTTTGAGTTAGGGGGATATGTAGTGATTGTGTAGTAGAGACTATCATGTCCAGATGTGAGGATACGGTGCAGTGTGCATCTCTACTTCTGGATCGAGGATAGACTTCCAATGAAACTATTGGACGTGTCGTGATAATGGGATGCTGGACTCTGCCACTGTCCATGCCCTCAATGATGGACTCATGACTCTTTATAAAGAACTATAGAATTATAATGATATAGGGGACACTGTTGTGCAGTAGGAAGGGTTTTGGGGAGGGGATAAAGGACGTCCCAGAGCCTACGGAACTGTGTTATAAAATAATAATAAAGAAAAAAAAACTTAAAAAATATTTCCAGAAAGTAGAAAAAGAAAAGTTGGGGTTGGTATTCGGGCTAGTGATTAAGACACCGTTTGGAATGCCTGCATCCCACATTGCAGCGGCTGGATGTGAGTTCCAGGTTGGGATTTTGATTCCCACTTCTTCCTAAAGATAAACACTGGGAAGCAGCAGGTGTGGCTCCAGTAACTGAGTCCTTGTCACTCCTGGGAAAATTGGACAGTATTTTCAGCTCCCTCCCAGCTTCTTGGGGGTGAAGCAGTGGTTGGGACCTCTCTCTCTCCCCTCCCCTCTCTCTTTTTCTCCCTCTCTCTCTCCTGTGTTTATTTTATGTAAATATGTGTATATAAACTCTATCATTGATTGTCATCATCACCATTTCTTTTTGTCTCCAACTCTCATCCTTCTCAAAATAATGAAAAGAAAAATCAGA